TATACAACATTAGCTACGGTTCGTAATGGGTCAAATGAAACAGCCTTGCATGTCTTGGCTCGAAGGCCTTCAGAATTTACTAGCCAAAGTTCAGGATTGTGGAGTAGAATCACCAATTCAAGTGAGTTAATTGATAGAAAATTATAATATATGGACCTATATATATGTAGTAATAATTACCTAATTAAGTGGAAGTAAGCACTTATTTTGTGTGATATGATCACTATTATTTTGTCATGTGCAAATTACTAAGTAAAATGCAGAGAAAGAGAAAGCTATTGCTTAGGGTTTTTATTACTAACCCCCATCCGGCATGGGATCCAAACCCTTGCTATTGAAGAGAAGGAGCGCCTGATCGTATATAACATAAAAGTTTACACCTGAATTAATAAGTTATTGTAACTATCTGAGATTATTATGCATACTTGACCTTGGGATTTTGTTGTTCTGACATTCTCATTGTAAGTACGTACTTTCAGTTTGGAAGTTTGCATACAACGGAAACTCGAAGCAAACCAAAGCCCTTCAACTAGTTCGACAGCTTTGGGAAGAAATCTTAAAACTTGACGACCAAGAGGTCATGAGCTTGATAAAATATCCTTCACAACTACTATTTGACGCTACAAGATTAGGAAATTTCGAATTCCTGGCTGCACTTTTAAGCGCTTATCCTGATTTATTCTGGGAACTCGACGAAAACAAACGGACTATAATCCATGTGGCAGTATTGCATCGTCATGCAAGTATCTTCAATCTAGTGCATGAGATAGGCTTTATCAGGGACCTCATAACGGCAATGAGTGATGATGAGGATAACAACATATTACATCTGGCTGCAAAATTAGCACCTCAAAATCAACTCAATCTTGTGTCAGGAGCAGCTCTTCAAATGCAGCGAGAGTTAGTATGGTTTGAGGTACTTCTGCTTCTATCCTTGCAATCTTTACCATTGTTGTATTTTTTCTTATAAGATACTTAATAATGTTGCCAATGTTTGAGCCTTACAGAGATGCGTTTTCTGTGATCGTAACACATTCATATGGTGTGACTCAAATTACAAGGGTTCATAATTTACTGCATAATTTTAATAAATACGCACTTGTTATTACAAAATGAGTGTGTTGACAACAAAAAGAAAAATCAATGTTCTATATTCGTAATTGACAACATATATAATTCACATGGTAGAATAACAGAAAATTTCCTTATATATAAGTTTGTATATATTATACTAAGACTTTTGAAGAAAGTTCTTGTTTTTTTTTTTAATGCGAAAGTTCTCGTCATATGGTGAATTTATTCGTACTTCATTCATCCTGAATGATTTTTTTGTTTTATTCATATGCATCAATATTTCCATATGCAGGAAGTTAAAAAGATTGTGCAACCTCTCTCTACAGAGATGAAAAATAACCAAGGCAAAACACCGAGAGAATTATTCACCAGTGAACATAAGGAGTTATTGCATAAGGGAGAATCATGGATGAAGAACACTGCAAATTCGTGCATGCTTGTCGCAACCATTATTGCCACTGTTGTGTTTTCAGCTGCATTTAGCATACCAGGGGGTATAGCTGATAAAACAGGAGCACCAAATTTCGTAAAAGAGACAGCATTTCTAACCTTTGCAATATCAGATGGAGTAGCACTCTTTTCCTCTTCAACTTCCATGTTGATGTTCTTGTACATCCTCACCTCGCGGTATGCAGAAAACGATTTTCTCAAATCCTTACCGTTGAAGTTAATGGTAGGACTCGCATCACTTTTCATCTCCATGACATCCATGATGATAGCCTTCAGCACGGCCTTCTATTTATCTTGTCACTACGGATTAGGTTTCGTCGCGGATTTTATATTTATATTCTCATTTGTTCCAGTGGTCTTGTTCCTTTTTTTGCAATATCCACTCTTGTCTGATATGTTCTTGTCGACATATTGTTCCAGTCTTATATTTCAGCCAAGAAAACATATGATCCAATAGAAAGTCACGGCCTCAATGTGAACGCTCTAACTGAAACCTTGCCTCCACAATCATGTACGTATATGTTTGTGTATTCTAGCTTAGTTTTGTAATAAAATAACATGGCGCTTAAGTTTTGGGTGTATGATATGAAATCATCAATCGAAAAATCAACGATACTATAACCAACTAAGATCTTGATTGAATTGTATTTCTTAGTCCTAATGTTGAAATAGTAACGAAGAAGGAGAGTGCATCAACACCAAATCGTCAAATTCATTATTAATCTTTATTCTCTGCAAATTTAGGTGTAGTGTAACTTAGGATATGAGTAGTTGTAATTTAGGGCCCGTTTGGTATCCTACTTAAAAAAAAGAAATCAAAACTTATAATTATTGTTAAAATATGAGTTTTTAAATACTGATTTTAGGATCTAAAAACTTGTTTAGTATTGATCTTCAAACTATTTTTAAGATATAGAAAAAGAATTGAAATAAAAAGAAAAAAAATTAGAAACCCTAATTCCCAAATTGAAATTATCGTAAAAAAAGGAGAGAGGGAGGAGAGACAAAAAAACTGCAAAGAGTTTGGCTAAAATTTTCATAAGATTCATTTTTAGGTAGAATATTTTTTTAAAATATATTGGTTGTTGGTCTAGGTTTAGTCAAAGAGTTTATGTTTATATTTTCTTAAGTTATGTAGTAATCTATACTATTTTTTAAGAGAATAGTCTTTATCCATCACTTTTGACCCAAAAAAAAAAAAGACTTTGAAAAAAAAGTCCAACCCGGGCCAAGCTCTTTCAAAACTTGGCTCAGCCCAACCCAATCCAAAAAATTAAAAAAGGCCCAGTGACAAACCCTATTTCTAATCACAAAGAAAACTGTTATAAAGAAAGTGGTGGAACCCACATAAAGAAAAGAAGTAAATAATAGTCAAAAAGCTTAATGATGATGTTGGGTAATGAAGTCCACGGGAAGCCATCCAATTTGCCTATAAATAGGCTTGCTCATTCAGTTGTAGAACACACAGATTCAAAGAGAAAATAGAGAGAAAGAAAAGAGAGTGAGAAATCTAACTGTTAGTGAGTTCTATCTGAGAGGAAATTCTGTCAGTGTAAACACCACAAGAGCAAATATAATTCTACTCCCAATATTCAGTGGTACTTTTCATACTCTGATTCTTTTATTTTATAACATGTTATCAGCACAATAGTCTCTCCTCTTTACTTCTAAATTTTCTCTGCTCAACATTATGTGGTTATTTCTGTCTCCTCTCTGTTATATGTCTCCTCTCACTTTGCTACTACGACGACATGCAAACTTTCTTTTTCGTTTCTCACAATTTTTATGTTGTTTCATCCATGTTTGCTTAATTTATTTTTTCGTACTGTAATTTGGAATGGTGCGGTTTTATACCCCATCCTGTTATTTTATGGTGATGTAATTTTCATTACCCATCGCATTGTAACACATATTATCGTAATAAAAATGATGGTGTGATCTTAAAACCCATCTTATTATATCTTGAATAGTGGCGCAGTTATATTGCCCACAATATATAATATGTTATATACTTCATATATATTAGGTGGTGGTTTTATTCCCGCATTTACGTTATTTACTGTATGGTGTAGGTTTATTACCCATGCAACAGTATTTATTTAAAAGTGTGGTGCGGGTTTATCGTCCATACAACTGCCTTTAGCATTTACTTTATTTATTGTATGGTGTAGGTTTATTACCCATACGGCAGTATTTATTTAAAAGTGTGGTGCGGGTTTATTGTCACATAACTGCCTTTACTTTTTATTTAAAAGTATGGAGTAGAATTAATGCTCATACCAGCACATTTACTTTTATTTAAAGTATGGTGCGGAATTAACGTCCATGCAGCAAGCAATTTATTTTATCGCACGTTTACTTTTATTTAAAGTATGGTGCGGTTTATCGTCCATACCAGCAAATTTATTTATAGCACACTTTATTTTTATCATCAGTTAATATACATGAATAATGAGGGCCTAAAGTTCCTCAAACAATTAAAGGGCCTGAAGTTCCTATTAAGAAATGGCTTAATGTCCCATATCCCGAGCCGGAAGTTTCGGGTAAAATATGCAAGATATTTTTGCCCTGAAATTCAAAAATATATTAAGCCTGAAGATTATTGCAAATTCTGATGCATCTCATTTTCTTTGAAGATGCCAAACTTGGCAAAACTGGAATTTGCTGCCTTGGACATTTCTAGGAACAACTATCTATCATGGGTCCTGAATGCCAAGATCCATTTGCGTGCCAATGGCCTTGGAAAAACAATTGTAGATGGAAGTGATGCATCACCTGAAGAAAACGCAAAGGCTATGATTTTTCTTCGCCGTCACATTCATGAAGCGCTGAAAAGCGAATATGTGGTGGTCGATAAACCATTGGTTCTATGGAAAGCCTTATTCGAAAGATACAATCACCAGAAAACGGTGACCCTCCCAAGAGCCAGATATGAGCGGACACACTTGAGATTCCAAGATTTCAAGATAGTGTATGAGTACAACTTAGCAATACACAGAATCACCTCCTTGATGAAATTATGTGGTGAAAATATCTCTGAGGAGGATATGCTCGAAAAAACTTTGAGTACCTTTCATGCCTCAAATGTGCTTCTGCAGTAACAATATAGGCATAGTGGTTTTACGAAGTACTCAAAACTGGTATCTTGCCTTTTGTTGGCTAAGCAGAACAATGAGCTTTTATTGAAAAATCACCAATCTCGCCCAACAGGCTCAGCACCACTTCCTGAAGTAAATGCTGCATCTTAGGAAGTGAATGCCACCTCATCTCGTGTCAGTATCTACAAGCATGGGCGAGAAGGCAAGCGTAGCCGCTGGCATCATATGGCTTGGGTCCAAGGAGCAATCATCCACGAGCGGCAAAAACGCATCCCGAAATAAGGAGAAAGTACAGACAAGCCATATGCCTAGAAATGTTGAAGTCGCTTGTCACAGATGTGGTGCAAAGGGACATTGGGCTCGTACATACCGTACGCCGAAGCATTTGGCGAATCTTTATCAATCTTCACTTAAGAATAGGAAAGTGGAGACAAATTACATTGATCATGTTATACCAGATTCGCCAGCCACTGATGGCTCATTGGAAATATTGCTTCAGTTAGACATGACGCATCTAGATGTTTCCGATTTTGTTATTGAAAGAGGGAATAAAGTTTATGGGTCTGAATTAGACTAAATTCCTTTATGTACCGTTTGTATTATCTGAAGTACTGTTTTTAATTTTCATTTCAATCTAATAAAAGTGGCAGTGTTTTTTATTTTTTATTTTTTTATACATTGAATAATTGTTTATTGATTCAGCTTATTTTATTTATTTGAAGGTATGGATATAAATTATGGATGCTCCCAAAAAAAAAGCTCTAGCAAAGATATTTGTCTCGTAGACAGTGCGACTACTCATACGAT